TATGTTTTTGTTTATCAGTTTTGCTCTGCCCCCAACAACTGCCTAACTTTCCTCATCCCTGTAGGCCAAGGCTGTAACTCTGGGGATTACCAAAAGCCATAAGCAGCTACACATGATCCCTCTTGTACCCTGTCCAATTCATGTTTATCAAATAAGAAAAAGGAAGATCAGAGGGATACAAATAGAACTCAAAGTCTAATAGACCAGGAAAACAAGTGAAACAGAATATTTCAAATGAAGGACTAACCAAAAGTGTCAGTAGAAAGGTTAAGCTGGATAAGAATGAAATTTTTATATCAGATCTAGCCATTAGAAGTGATGGTGCTTATAATAGCCACTTTGCAGCAGGTTGAAGACTAAGCAGAAGGCAGGACTTGGAGACATTAAATACAAGGAACTATCTGATGAGTTAGGATGGACAAAAGTAGTAAAGTAGCTAGAGGAGACATAGCGGAAAGAGAGAATTTCTCAGGATAGGATGACAGAATAGAGTTTGGAGACAGATTGATTAGAACTCGTAGAGGGGAATTATAGACAAAGGTAATTCTTTTAAAGGGATAGAGGTGTGAGACACTGGAATGGTAGAAGGGAATGGAGTAGCTGAGAAACAAATGTTGTTTTGCCAGAAGAGGAGTAATGTATGAGAGAAATTTGGGCTTAGGCATGTGGAGTATGAAGTGAGAGTAGGACTGAGAAGTAGAAATATCCTACAGAGTTGAAAATATTGCTGTGTGCTGTGAGCTAGGCTGAGGCCACGGCACTCACTCTAGCCTGGGCAACAAAGTGAGACTCTGTCTCAAAAAAAAAAAAAATATTGCTGTGATAATAGATGAAAGGTCACACTTGACATTTTCTAAATCACATACATTAATTTCCTAAGAAAACAAGACCAAGCAACTATCAAATTATTCTCAGAGGGATGTAGCACAGAGTTGAATTTATCATGTTCCAACCCATTTTTCAAAAAAAGCATTTTTAATATGATTTCACCAAATATTCTTGACAAAACATTTGATCACCAAATGAATTTTCTATCTTTAAAAATACTGAATGATATACAAAACCATGTTTGAATAATGTGAAGAATAAGACAATGTATAAGTCATGCAAATATATAGAAAGACACAGTAAATCCTTGAAAGAAAAAATGAGGAGGGGACAAAGAAAAAAAGGAGGAGGAGGAGGAGAAGGGGAGGAGGGAAAGAGGGGGGATGGAGGAAGAGAGGTGGAGAGAGGGAAGAAGGGAAGGAAAGAAATTATTTTTTCTTTTTTAATTTGGCGATATAGAATAATCTTTCCTCACTAGGGTCACCCAATTTCTTTAGGGTCACCCAATTTCTTTAAAACTATTTTTTTCTTTGATAAATTGACCTAACAATATCAGGACCCCATTCCTAACTTGTATGGATGTTTTGAAGATTAACTACATGTTCCTATAGAGCAAATGGTCACTTTATCAAAAGTTATTCTCCATGTATAAATTATAAATCTATGTATAGACACAAATAAAATTCAATGCTAGCTACAATATACTGCTTTGGGGAAAATTATTTCTAAGAGTTCAGCATTATTTCTAATTAAACTGTTTTTCTGAAACCAAGATTTTGGAGGTTGTGTGGGTTTGTTTTGCCGAAGAAAAGTTTAAAACTCTGTGATATTGGCAAAGTGCTTCTCGCCTTAGACTTTTAGATTGGAGCAGGCTTTAGTTACAAATACTTAGGGTTGGTGTTATATAACATCTTTGAAAAACTTTATTTTATTGAATCTTTCTACACAATTTTGACTTTTCTTGTAGATGTAATAAAAATGCATGTGGATAGCCAGATAGCCTGTTGCCATGGCAACACTTCTACATATATTGGTGTTAAAAAAGGTGTGTGTTTACAACATCAAGAATCCATATGATATATGAATGTTCAAAGGATTTCCAATCAGTTGGCCAAGCATTCTGATAATATTTTCTTTTCCTGTTTAATTTACTGGTTTGTATTAGAAAAACACATTGCATTCCTGACATTAGGAAAGAATATACAAGCAAAACAACTTTTCTTTGATGCTCTGATTAATAGTAAGACACATCAAACATCACAAAAGGTACTGCTTCTAATGTCTTAACTTTTATTTTTATGGTCCTTTGCAAGTTGTACTTTTCCTTTATTCATGATGTCACCACCTTAATTTATCCTTGTTACTAAGCCCCAGAAACAGACCAGACAAATTTGGATTCACAGGAACCATTTGACCAATTTGGCAGATAAAGGAAACTTACACACAGCTCTCTGGTGGCCTGTGTAAAACGCATCAGTAGCTCCTTCTAGATTGGTGTGTAAGTGTCCACATCAAGAAAACACACCATTACTATTGATGCTAATAAGTCTCAGAAGAATTTAACCTGAATGAGAAAGTTCCAGTACATTATCTTTTCTCATTTTGTGCTAAATTTTCTTTGTAAATATCGCAACTACAATCTTTTATCTTTTGTGAAAATTATAATCTAGTTCTTGCAATAATTTACTTAGATAGAGACCATTTTAGGATTAGTATTTTAATAGTTAGACAAAGTAAGGTGAAAAATAATAAAGATCGGCCGGGCGCGGTGGCTCACGCCTGTAATCCTAGCTCTCCGGGAGGCCGAGGCGGGCGGATTGCTCAAGGTCAGGAGTTCAAAACCAGCCTGAGCAAGAGCGAGACCCTGTCTCTACTATAAATAGAAAGAAATTAATTGGCCAACTGATATGTATATAAAAAATTAGCCGGGCATGGTGGCGCATGCCTATAGTCCCAGCTACTCGGGAGGCTGAGGCAGAAGGATCGCTCGAGCCCAGGAGTTTGAGGTTGCTGTGAGCTAGGACGCCACGGCACTCACTCTAGCCTGGACAACAAAGTGAGACTCTGTCTCAAAAAAAAAAAAAAAAAAATAATAAAGATCAAGAAGTCATTTTTTAGATATTTTTAGAAATCAAGAAAACTAAATGGATATGCAGAATAGTGAGGGGAACAAACAGTATCACCTGGTATAAAAATGAGAAATAAGATTGGCCAGAAAATCATCCCAGATGCAGAATCTACATGACCATGTTATGGAAAAACTATGTTCTGAACCTCTAACTTCCTTTTACATTTGTATAACCAATTAAGACACAACCATGACATGTGGATACCCTAGCAGGCAAATAATTTGGCACCCAAAGCAATATTTCACAACCATTTATATTTGGGTTTGAGGAAAATCTTAAGGCTGCATAAAGGCAGAAAAACATGGTACAGCTTTTATGAATTTAGAGATTAGACCCAAATGCCTGAATAATTCATTTAAAAGGGGCAAAAAATGATGATGTATCTTCATAGATCAAGATCAAGTCAAAATAATTACATAATCACTTATATAAATTATCAGAATATTTCAATGCATTTGTATAGTTAGATACAATTCTTTGTGATACTTTTACAATTATGTGTTTTGTCAATTTTTACCTTCTCAGAGAAGCCTTTTCTAACTACCCAAATTTAAATAGTAGCCCTATCCATGGAGAAATTATACCTTATGCTTTACTTTATTTTCTTCATAGGTGTTATCTAAATGATATTATTTATCTCTTTGTCAACTCTCTAATGATCTAAGTTTGATGGGGACAGAGACCCCCTCTACCTTATTCATGCCTATACCCCAGCCCCTAGGACAAGGTCTGCCCATGGGAGATGCTCATGTCTCTGTTGAATGAATAACATATAAAATAACATTTGGTTAATTTCATATAATTTTACCAAATTTCTGTTGAAATTTTTAAAATGCGCACATTTTAATTGCACTGGTAAAATTTATTTTACTCCCCCCCAAAAAATATTTGAGTCATTATAATAATAAAAAGGAGAAAAAAAAATGAACAAATTTATCACTTTGTCATTCTGATAAATCTTTCCTTCTATGCTCATCTTTTTATAGTATTTAAGTTGACCCATGACTCTGGAGAATAAGATATATAACATCTACTTTTGATATGTATTTGTGGATGTGAGGGCAACATTATTTTCTAGCTTTGACACCATTTAGGACAGTATCTTTTCAATACTTAATACTGTCTTAAAATAGAGTGAATTTAGGCCAGGTGCGGTGGCTCACGCCTGTAATCCTGGCACTCTGGGAGGCAGAGGTGGGAGGATTGCTTGAGCTCAGGAATTCGAGATCAGCCTGAGCAAAAGGGAGACCCTGTCTCTACCATAAATAGAAAGAAATTAGCCAAACAACTAAAAATAGAAAAAATTAGCCAGGCACGGGTGGCGGTGGCTGTAGTCCCAGCTACCTGGGAGGCTGAGGCAGGAGGATCACTTGAGCCCAGGAGTCTGAGGTTGCTGTGAGCTAGGCTGATGTAACGGCACTGGAGCCTGGGCAACAAAGTGAAACTCTGTCTCAAATTAAAAAAAGGAGTAAATTTACTGTAGTAAATACCTTCATAACAATACTAACGTGTGATAGCATATAAGAGAAGGAAAGCATTAGTATTGATAAAATCTCAATTTGACCTCCTTAGAAACTAGTGAGATAAAAGTCTCAGAATCCATGATACCGGTTTCTGTATGGAATTTACCTTATAGCAGCGGTCCCCAACCTTTTTGGCACCATGGATGGCTTTCATGGAAGACAATTTTTTCATAGACCGGCCTGCGCCAAAGGGGGGGGGGGGGGGGGGGGGGGGGGGGGGGGTGCAGGAATAGTTTCAGGATGATTCAAGCACATTACATTTATTGTGCACTTTATTTCTATTGTTATTACATTGCAATATATAATGAAATAATTATACAACTCATCATAGGCTGGGGAACCCTGCCTTAGAGGCTTTCTTTAGTTTAAATGAGATTTAGCATCAGAAATCACTCTAAGTTCTGTCACATAGGAAACTGAGGTCATAAACACCTTAAAGTCAAAACTGAATGAAAAACTATTTAGGATGTCATGCATATCAATTTAATATTAAATTCCCAAATATAACCACAAATTTTACCTTCAAGAAAGTTCATGGCTTTTCTACCCAGTTGCTGTTCCTCCTCCTAGAAGGAAGAAGAAATGAAAGAATCAAGGAGGGATGGGAAGCTAGAAAGGGAGGCAGTGATTTACTCAGCTGTTCTAAGTCAGTCACAAAGCACTCAGGTAGAAATGACTATTGCCTTTGTGAAGGTGATTTCACATGGAGGGCCTGACCCTCTGCCTCCCCATTACCTCAATTGGCCTGTCTGTGGATTGAGATTAGCATTTCCATCCCCATTAGCTGAAGTCTCTGCTCCATTGTGATAATAGTAAATAATACACCTAGAATATTATGATCCTAATTTGATTGATTAACCTTATTTATGGAAAATAAAAGAATATATAAGAAAAACCTGGAAGTGTTGGGTCTAAAACAAAGTGGCTAGTAAGACTTGAAACACCATTTACAATGTGTTAACTTTTATTGTCCTCTCTTTCCTTTGTCTAAAGTCAAGCAAATAAGAAAATTCCAAGTATGCTTTTCACTTTTTCATTTTTTTTGTTCTCTACTACATGCAGACCTGTTTTTAAAAGTGATAGATGATAGGTTGATATGAAGGAGAGAGAGAGAGAGAGAGAGAGATAAAGGAAGAGAGAGAGAGAGAAGGAGAGACAGAGAGACAGAATATCAGGTTTAATCACAAAGAGAACCTTAAAATAGCTGAATCTTTGCTTTGGTGCCTGTGACCTCCTTCTTGTGACTAAGAATACCTTCTTGTTTTATTCCACCTTTCTCTTCCCCCTTTCTCCTCAACCCAAACCTCTGGGGCTAGAAGTGGCCTATCTATCCTCCAGACACAACTTCCAGGGAAGTATTAGTTGAAAATGGAACTAATATTTTAGTGGATACTATATTTTAGTGGATACTATAAGCAAAGTATTTTGCATATGCTATTTTATATAATCATCATTATATTCATTTCACATATAAGGAAACTGAGGTTTATAATCTGTTTCTTGTTACCTAGTTCATAAATGACAGATTTCAGTTCGGGTCCTGGTTTTCTTAGACCTTAAAACCCATATCTTTTCAATATATTGCACTGCCTTTCCCTCTGCGTCATCATCTAGTCTTACTCTCAGTTGGCCAGCAATTGGATTGAATTAACTATTTCCACCAGAGCTTGAATAATGAGAAAGACTTAATATACTGTCCCTCCATAGAATGCACATGTATACACATGGGAAAACATCCTTAACTAATGAAGGATTTCCTAAGGTAAAATTTCTGGGCTAATCATCACTTTTATGGTGGGATGACTTTGAGGCTGAACACCCCACTGGCTTGATTTAGCAGCCCATGGCTATCAAATAGCCAAATATATTTATTCAAAACAGACAACTAAGCATTGTGCTACACAGTACTGTTTTTTTTTTTTTTTTTTTTTCAGTAATCATTACTGGTAGGCTTTGAAGCAGTTGCTATAACATTTGGGAAACATTGTTTGCTGGGGGAATTTGGTTCAGTCCTTAATAAATGCATTTGTCAAGTTTCTAATTTTCTTTTTGTACTCTTCAAATGCTGTTGCTTCTAAGGCTTAAATTGAGATAACCTCAATTTGATGTTATTGTCTCTCTTGTTTCACATGAGTTAACCAGAGAGTAGAGAAGCAACACAAATTCCTGGCAATAACATATTTTTTCAAATGAACTGCTTTAGTCATATGACAGGGAGTAAAAAAATAACCTAACTTTGTAGCTATTTCCTCATCAAATAATGTTAATACTAGCATTTCACTGGGCAGTTTTTCTAGCCCAAACAGCTTCACATATATCATACAGTGTAAGAATAACAGGTCAAGCTTTATAGCCAAACTTCCTGAGTTTGAATCTTACTCTGCTAACTAGTAGTTTTGTGGACTAGAGTAACTCACTTAACTTCTCTTTCTTAGGTTTTGATTGTATAAAAAAGAAATAATTACAATGCTCACCTCATTGTTCAAAGGATTACATGAGCAATATATAACAGTGCCTGAACATCCTGTTAACTATATGTGAATGCTTTGTAATTCTCTTAGTACTTCTGAAATATGTGATGTTATTGTGTCGCATAATATGTGGCAAGAGAGGATTTGTTGTCCCCTTCATCAGGATGGGAAGTTAGTTAAAGCGCCATGTGTTGGACACTGCATTCAATCCCTGTATGACAAAGTAGGTAATTCTCAAAGAAAGTGGTGGTCGCCAATTGCATAAAGTGGAGCACTAAGAAAAAGAGAAACTGGACCACTGAGGGTAACATGATAATTCAACATGGCTTCTCAGAACCAAACAGGATAAAATTCCATGAGATCTTAGAGAAGAAAATGAAGCTAAAAAGTTTTGCTAAAAGGATCCTTAGACATGGTGGGTCACAATGATAAAATGTACAATAATCTAGAAGCTGCCTTAAGAGAAAACGTGATTAAGGCAGCTTAATGTTAGTAATTATTATGAACAAACAAAAAGAATATGGTTGAGCACATAGCTTTTTATATCATTTTAATTGCACATTGCAATAGTGAAGTAAAATTTTGAAGTATCAAACTTAACTTTGAAAGTGACTCTTTCTCCAGATTTGTTGAGGCATGATCAATAAAAATACAGGGAATAATACTCTCTTATCATCAATGAGGAGAAATTCATCAGCTAAGAGCCTGGAAAGAAAGATATGGAAAGTAAAGAAAAGCAACAGAATAGGAGATAGGAAAGTTCTAAAGACAAGTTTGTCTACATGCAAAAAATGTCTCACTGCCACTGCTCTGACCTGCCACCCACCACCCATGAATCCCCACAGGCACTGCCACGGGCTGCTACTTCAAAACATTAAGTCAAACATGTAAACCAAACACATGAAGCTTTCAAAAAATCTCTAGATTTTAAAATGAAAACAGGTAAGAAGAGGTAAAAAATAGTAACAGCTGACCATTAGTAGCGATCTCTATTCAGGGAATGCCTGCAACTTTGCCCTTAGCCCCAAATGCATTTTCCCATGTGAAGTCAGCAATTTAATATTAATATATTCTGTTATATCATCAGAATGTTCTCAATTAGAAATTTATTTGTGATATTAAATATCTTCTTCTAAAAATAAAAATGCCTCTGGGAATGTGAAGAAATTTGCCTCCTAAACATTTAGTAGAGAACTGCATTGGGGAATTGGAGTTCTCATCCAAGTAGAATGGAGGTAAATAACTTGGAAGTAAAAAAAAAAAAATGTCAGGAGGAGAGGCAACTCAGACCTCAATGTGGGTTGCAATGAGGATGTAGAGCAAGAGAACAACACTTGCTTGGTGCCTAGGGCAGTAGAAGAAAGAAGAAAAAGGGAAATAGGGATGCACTATAGTTTAATTTTGCCTAAATTTTAACTTTTGCTTTAGACTATCCTTATCCCAAGAAAGTAAAGAAATTCTTTTCTTTTCCTATTTCTTTCTAACCTACATGGCCCCCAGAACTTATACTAGATTTTTAAATTAATATTTTATTCCAGTTACATTTGCTATTGGTTAATCAGCTTCTAAACACTGGTTTTGATTCTAATTATGGAGATATTATTGGAATATATAGATATATTAGATCTATATCTTAGATCGAATATCTTAGATCATTCCTGTTCCATGAAGAGCAAACCCTCTGGAAAATACTGCATTCATATATGTAGGACTAAGGGTAAAAAGTAAGAGCTAACTTACAGTTTTTAGAAGTGATCAGTGTCTGGATTCTGCATTAGGGGTGTGATATTGAGAAAGTATAGAAGACAACAATGAATAGAATTAAGATGCTGAGAACTAGGGGAAATTCCAGTAAAGGTGGTGAAATGATGTAGTAATACAAAACTTATGAAATATTTACTAATTAAATCTAAGAGGAAATATTAAAAAGGAAGACTAAAGACATTAATTTAAAAAAAATGAAACTAGAGAAGAGATTACTCTTAACAAACTGCAAATGTAATGGAGAAAAGTTAGCATACGATTACAGAACTGTGGGTAAATATATAAAGGTACATGCCATTGCACAAAGGTAAGAACAAAAGGGGACTCTTTAATCACTACAGCTACAGTGGTAGGAAAAGGGGATATCCAAGACTTCAACCTTACCAGCTCCAGTGACAGAGAACAGAGCTCTGGACTGGCAGAACAGCTGGAAATTTAAAAAAGAAATCTTGGCAGCAAGATAATTGAAGAAATGAAATCCCAAGTCTAAGTATAAACTCTACCCAAATTCTTAGCTTATAGCTAAATTACTCACACTTGGGGAAGAGTTTATGAAGAACAGTGGAAAATCAGGCAGAGACCAAAGAGGAATCTACTCTTGAGAGACAGAGCCACAGGAGCATGTTTGGTACTTTTATAACTCAGTGTATTTCACTAACATTAATTAGATGGCTAATATTTTTTAAACTGACAATTTTATGCATTAGTTCCAATGTAGAATAACTAGAACTCTTATACAATGCTGGTGGTATATAAATTTGTCCTGCCACTTTGGAAAAGAATTTGGCAATGTCAAACAATTATCATATTACTTAACAATCACAGTCATTGATATTTATCTAAGAATGATGAAAACATATAAACATATGTCCATACAAGTTCTGCATATAAATATTCATAGCAACTTAATTATTAATCATAATAGCTCAAAACTGGAAATAATTCAATGTCCCTCAATACATGAATGGATAAAACAAATTACAGTAATTTTTCGTACAATGAAATGCTACTAAGTAATATAAAATGATCGAGCAACTGATGCAGCAACAACATGAATGCATCTCAAAATAATTAAGCTGATTTAAAGACGCCAGATACAATATATAATACAAGAGCAAGTAAATAGTTTTCCAGTTTGACTTGGGAGAGGTGGACTGCAAAGGGAAATAAACTTTGGTGGGTAATGAAATCGATCTGTATCCTGAGTGGGGTGCTTGTTACATAGGTGTATACAATTGTCAAAACCCATCACAGTGTACACTTAAAATGGGGCAGTTTACTGTATATAGATTTTACCTCACTACAGTTGATACTAAAAAGTAGCTGGTAAC